TTCGTTTCGTCGATATAAGTTAAACCATGTAACTGGTTTTCTATAGCGTTCCTTAATCCATAATGAAGATATTCTCCAGGCGGACAAGGTCTAATTTTTAAATTAGAAGTTCGAGGTGTTTCTAATAAAGATCGAGAATCTTCAGGCAAATTGTTGTGTTCTGCCTTTTTCAGCAATTTTAAAAGGCGATTTAAATGCACATATTTAATTTGACAATCTATCGCAAACGATTTCAATTCTTCGACAAAATTAAAAGAATGGTTTTCGAAAAATTCAGGATTTTTTCCTTCAAATTCCTCTTCTAAATCACTCTTGTATGTACCGTCTATTGTATTTTGTATAATTTCATCTTCATAATTTAGTGGAATATTCTGAATAACAGTCTTGTTTTCTATAAAATCATGTGTGCCTTCAGATTCGAAATTGTCAGTTCTGATTAGGTTATTATTTTCTTTACATAATTCATGTCCAACATAACGAATATCATGTAAACATCGTAACTTGCTTGCAAATTCTGAATGTGAGTTATGAATATTATGTAGATCTGCTTCTGATGGCTAGCGAGTCGACGAAATACTTGTCGTTTTGATAAATTAGTATTTTTTTTTATTCGGCATATCCCTATACAGTTGGAAAATTTGTTTTCTTGTTAAAAGAAATGCCCGTTAAAATTTTGGTGTTAAATGGTTAACACATTCTATATTATTAGTAACAAGATTTATCTGTTAAAATTTACAGAATGAAATGTAGATTTTATTTTATATAACATAAGAGAGTGGTCTCGGACCATTTGGCTTATTACATCTGGGCCTGGATAGCTCAGTTGGAAGAGCACTCGCCTGGCAAGCGGAAGGTTGCCTAGGTTTGAATCCTAGCCCGTTACTTTTCTCGCCGAAAAATAAGTGGCGCGTCTTAGTGCCTATTATAAAATTCATTTTGTCATTAAAAATATGTTAAGTTTACACAAAATTTATGTTAAATGATTTTGAGATTTGCATTTATTTTGTGTTAAAATATTAACAGACTATTAGTGTGATCCTTTAACATATCCATATTATGTTAAATTAACACAAAAATTTGTGTGGACCGTTTGGGACATGTGATATCTGTTAAATTTAACACAAATTTGGTAAATATTTCCCTTTACTTAGCACCCGCCAATCAACTTCCGTTTGACCTTGATGTTGACCTTGACCCCCAAGGAGGTCAAGGTCATTGCCCATTTCCGTCGCTCATTGTTTGTTAAAAAGTTATGAAGAAAATAAGTTTGGTTTATGTGTAAGTTGCAAGTGCGTTTAGCACGGCGCGCTGCGCGCGCCCCACCCCCC